AGAGATTGCTATGAGATATTTACGAGATATTTAAAGTTTATAAAAGACAGGAAATGAAAGCAGTTACAATTTATGCAGTTACATGTTATATACGGCATTACATGTTACATGTTATATCATAAAATTTAATAACTTAAAATAAATATTGTTAAATAATAATATTGATTTAATATGATTTAGTATAATTTTTTAAAAATTTTACAAAAAGAGTCGTTCGATAATAGATGTAACTTTTAAAATGCGTCTTTTATTTGGCAATTAAACCTTTATATTTTTAAGTACAATTTATCGTATATCGTAAAATGCATCAATTTATTGAGAAAAGTTTTTATCTCCCATTTTATTTCAAGCATTGTTTGCAGAAATATCTTAACAATTAAATCTTGATTATCTTACCAATTTGCAGAAACAAACAAAACAATGCAATGTAAGCATTACATAATCTTATGTGACTTATGTCATAACGGATAGTTAAATGATAAATAATTGGTATGCATCTTGTAATTACTTGGCGAGTATAACACACAAAAGATTTGATGTATAATCTATGTTGGCTAGGAAGTTTTCACATATTGAAGAGTTTAGTTAGCAGATGCGAAAATATGTGGTGACGAATTCAAGATCTTCATTTATTTGACATGGCATACGTGTAGTATGACATAACAATGACTGATTCGTTCACCAAATTTACACATATAAAAATCCATAGAATTTTTCAAAAAGACTTCCTGAGATATTCCTGTCACTACAACACAAGTGCAATGTTTACATATTAGCATTGCATTTGTAAGATATATTTAGTGTATTGAAAAAGCGGAAATTAATTTTAGATTAAATATTTAAAAAGTGATTTTTATATAAAAACATCATCAATTTCACATCTTACCTTATCTATTCGCGTAAATATTATTTATTAAATTAATGTCTCAAGTTTTTCAATATGCCAAGTTAATCTTTTTTATAATTCAGAATATTATTCTTAGAATCCAGTCAATATTTTTTATTCGTTTCATCTTTAACTGCGTGATTGTAATAAAAATTAAAGAGCCTCTGACATTATTTCTAAGATTAATAAATCATTATTTGCCAATGAGAAAACCTTGTACCTGTTGTCTAGAATATTAATGGATTAGATTAGCGATGAACGTAATTCAAGCATATTAAATCGCTAACAATTAGATTCAATTAATTTCAAAAACGCTGCTTCAATACATGCGTACGTTTAACGTCTATTTGATATTAAAGGATTCGTCTGGAAAACGCGAAATTAACTTGATTTGCAACAGATTAACGGTTGTCGCGTATTTGAATCACTTTCCAATTCACACAGTCGTTCCACTTGTTTTCATTGAGAAGCGATCTTCGTGCACGAACACGGCTATTCTCGATAATATCAGTTAACACTTCATTTTGTCTTTACTGAGGTAGGTTCACGACGAAATAAAAACAAAAGAAGCATTAATAAATCGATTCAAACTTCGAACTAAAAATATAAAAAATATAAAAAGGATAATCAAAGATAAGAGAGATATAACGTGTGAAATCTAATTTAATAATTGATTAATCGAATATTAAGAATTATTTTTTCTCAAATTAATATCATCGTAAATCTTCAAGAAATTTTATATCATAATGCATGTTGGGATATATAACATTTAATCGCGACTGATAGCGATCGCATAGAATAGAAATTCGTATATATATTCAAAATACATATTGAATTGGATTCTCAAGATAATCTTGAATATTTTTTGCTCGTTGAAACAAGAGGGAAAAGGAAATCGAAAATTATCTTAAGATGCGAATATGGAAAAAAGAAAAAGTAAAAATAAATTTTAACAGATTACGAAGATCTCGGTGTCGCAATTTAGTGGATTGTGAAAAACATAGAAAATAAAAACATCTGTACCGACTTTGTTATTATTTCAAGTGAATCTCGATCTTGTACCATGATATTTTTAATTTTGTCCGTGTTTCAATTATGATTTCTAAGCGTTACGCTATTCTTCACCGTTCGTTACGGCTTCCACTTCTGTATTTTTCTCATTAGAAACGAGAAAAGTACAAAAGAACGTCCACAAAGCTGCACTAATCAGGAAAATATTTTGTAAAAATATGTATCTGTTAAAAATATGTATATGTTCTTCATTATGATAAAAAACCTCGTTACTTGTTAGATAAAATTAAACATTTTTACAATTAGAAGTTTTGATCATAAATAAGAAAGACTTTCACATAATTATCAAAGTGGGTCTCGATCTAAATTTTAAGAAATTACCGCGAACTGTAGAAAGTTAATCTTCATATAATAGAAACTTCAATATAAACATAATGAAATTTTATTATTTTAAAAACAAAAATTTTTTTTCCTGAAAAATAAAATACACAATTAATATCCAAAATTGAAGTGAATGTCGATAAAATCTCGATAAAAAAATTTATATCTACTACCTCACGCAATGTTCGACTTCATTGTTATCTCCGGTTAAGCTCATTGCATTGCTTATTTGTGATTTCATTGTCGAGTCCGCGATATACATTTCGACGAGAGAAACACGACACAATTAGAATTGCGTAAAAAGAGGGGGTCACATTTCACTGAAAGCCACAAACAACGCGAGATTCGAGAGCTATGTAATGAAAGCGAGTTAATTGGAAATCCCTGGTAATTATCTTACGTAAAACCGCCAGTGAGCCGGCTTTAACTGTCATTATGGGCAATCCCATCAGCCACGGAGAATGCCATCACGTGATCCCATCACTTCCGGATTAGTTATGCGCGAATCGAACGAAGTGATTTGCATCGATCGACTTATGTAAACGCCATATCGGTCGTGTTGTAATGAGCGCAAACCAGATTGTATCATAAGTTTTGTTTGTTTTAAAAAAGGAATATCTGAAAATGCAATATCTCGCGATATTATTCGCAATTAATTCAGCGAATGCTGATTATTATCTCGTGAAATCTGCATCGAAAAAGATATGCTTTTTTGCACACTTTTTAATTTTTCGTTTTAATTTATCGTGAAATCTAGATATAAAAGTACATAAGATATAAAAAAAAAATATGCAAGTGCTACTCTGTGTATTACTTTTCCTTTCAAAGCTTCATCTCCAACTTTCATTTTAACGAGATTCATTCTTAAAGAGAAAATCTAGATAGATAATGCTGATACCGTTATTTGACGCATCCGTTAGTAACCAACATTTACCTTAAGATAAAATTTTGACGGAGTCAAAAGTGTTTAAGTGTTAAGAGTAAAGTTGTATTTGAAGAGAAAAAAATAAGTTTTAGTTATCTAATCAATTCTTGCTTAGAAAATTTAGATTATTGTAAATATTATTTCATGGACCTATTAAAAAATAATTAAATAATTTGACGATTGTGAAAAATAGAAAAAATAAAGATCGATTATGTAGCAATAAACTTAAATAGACAATAAATTTTGATAAATATATTTCAGAAACACACATGCACATTTTCATTTATTTCATTCTACGAACCCTAATCATATGATGATGTATGGCATTAGTTGAAAATTTAGCAATTTAATATATATTTAAGACATAATAAATGATATATAAAATGATATATCACTATCAATTGAAGTGGATAATCAGGATCTAATCATGTAAAAATATCGTGATAATCTTTAATTGAAGAAATCACTTCGACACAATTCGTGATCGATCGCATTAAATATCTTGCAAAATTCAATAGAATTAATGAACTCGTTAATTATCTATTTCAATATTGTGGTTATTCTAACATTGGCCTTGTATTGATAAAACAAAAATGCTTATGTAGCAGCCTATGTCTAACAGATTGTGTCTAACAAATTAATTAGAAATTATATTCCTTATATTAACTTAGTTTATTAAGAAAATAAATGGAATTATCTAGATTGAATACATAATTTTTCTTTTCATGTATTTTATATATATTAGACAATATATTTGTCATAAGTTTTATATCAAGTTATAAGACAGTGTTAAAAAAAATCAATTTTCCTGAAAAGAAGCAAATATCGGTCAATATATCCGCACAATAAAGAAAATAAATGGGAATAGGACTTTTTAAAAATATATGTTGATCAAATTAATATGAATTCGAAATGATATATCGAATCAAGCACTCGATTTTATATGACTTTTTCTGAAACTAAAATATCTTTTCAAGTATCTAGATTAATATTAATCTACTTAATGTTTATAATTATACATATATCTTAAAAGTCTTTATTTTGATTTTATTCTATTACGAAAAAATGTCAATATAACGTTCGATATAAGTTATTAAGATACTTAAAATTCTCACATTAAACCAATAATTTGATTTGTTAAATTAATCTGTGACAAAATTCTTGAAAATTTTCAAGATATCTTTATTTTTCCTAATTATCTTATATATTAATTTAAAGATTTAGAAATATGTTTTTTTTATAAGAATCGAACGTATTAGCCTAATACTAAAATAATCACACTATAATGCCCGGAAGTAAAGAATCATTAAGATTTTATCTCTACAAATTCATATTTCAAAAAATATAATCTTATCATTTTCAGCTAGTTTAATTTCTGCTCTACATAGACTTATTCACGACACATCGAAAGTCAACTTACACTTTGTATCACGCAATACCTATTTATTGTTTACATTTTTTTAGCAAATTTCGGAACGCAGAACCTATTTACTGTACAAATTAACAGTCTTAGAGATTAAATTCGACATAATCTCAATAAAAATGCAGATTCCGATATACATCACATCCATAAAAATCCTCTTATTTGTAACAATTAGAATGTAATAAATAAATGCGTACAATATTCTGTGAGAACGTACTTCGTGCGTTCTCACAGAATTACAGATTAAACTGAATTAATTTTTTGTTTACTTTATTTGCGAGTTCGATCCGTCTGGAAAGTTATTTGAAATTCAGCCGCACCTCCGGGTAATAAATTAATTCGCGACCATAAAGAAAAAACTCTTGTTTACTTACCTTTTGGAGGTGGGACCTCGACGTTGAAAACCTCGGGTCTCTTATTCTCCGATTTCTTTCGATCCAGGGTCATGCCGTTCTCAACCATGTTGTTGTCGTTCACGTGGATCGCGATCGCTTGGCAGAAAAAAGAATCCTTTAGCTCTCGAAGGATCCGGGATGAAGCGGCTCTTGTTCCGGAAAATCGACGTCGAGGTCTCTCGTATCGCGCGTACAACACACAGCGTGACGGTCACTCTGCCACTGTCACAAAACACGGTCGAACTCGCAACACTTAGAGGCGAACACCTCGCGTACCTCGGCCAATTAGATCACGAAGCGAGACCCCACCGGTGCGGTACCCCTCCTTTCCCACGCAGGTGCGTTTTTCCCGAATTGCACCTGTCTGTATCCACATGATTAAAAGAAAAGAAAGAAAATGCGGTGAAATTTCTGAAAAGAACAATCCGTACTTGGAAAATGTGATTTTTTTTCTTAAATAATTTACGTCAATAATACACGAAGAAATGCTTCGAAAGTTTCGAGGATTTTCGAGGATTTTAAGCTTCGAAGATTTTAAATCAATATGCAGTACAAGATACGGAGACAATGTGCAGACAGGAGTTGTTATCATTTTCTTTATTTGTGGATCTTTGAACGATGCGGAATTGAATTTTTATTGAGAAAAATTTTATATTTTATATTTTAATATATATTTATATTTTTAATTTTAAAGAATGATGTCTTTCCTTCTTAGATTTCTATGAATCGATTTTTAATCATTTTTTGATTATTCATTTTTAAGAAATCTTTCTTTTTCATTAAAATATCTTATTAATTTATATAACAATATCTATATCTATGTTAAATTTTTCTTTGTTAAAATTTCATAATCCTCTTTTTCTTGTCACACAAATTTTAAATTTGTAACATATATGTATAAAATATTCTTGATAATTAATTTTCAAATTAGAAATCTATCTAAAAATAAAATATTAAATTTCATATATTTATATAATTTTGTATTTTTTAAATTTCAATCTCGAAAATTTTATTTATAATCGTTCGTAAGAATTTAAGAATTATTTTTCAATTATAATTTAATAAAATTTTGTGCAATTCCGTAAATCAGGAAAAAAATAGATTAAATAGATAATATATACTTCGTACAATTAATCCGATTAATTTGTAGAGATCTTTATTTCATAAGAATCTTAATCTCTATTAGATAATTCATGTTCACGCGCACATTTCAAGATTATAAAATTGTGAAAAAGAATAATATTCATTTAATATATTACAAAATAATAAATCTCTATAATATTATAGTTTTTTAATAGTTTTTAGAATATAAACTGTTTTATTTGGATAAATAAGAATAAATATATAAATAGTATATAATTTATTAAAATTAAAAATTAAAAATTAATAAAATAAATATTTACTAAATATTTATTAAATATTAATAAAATTAATTATAATGTTTTATTGTGTAATTATGTTTTATTAATAATTTATTTTATTAAAATCATACTTTTTAATTTAAATTAATTGATTCAAAACTATTATAAATATATATAGTTCAAGAATATATATATATATATATATATATATATATATATATTGATAACTAATTTAATTATCAGTAAGTTATAAAATTAAACAAGTTTAAGTACGTATCAAAACAGCAAAAAATTATTGCAGATATTACATCGTATTTTTAGATAAAAAGAAATATAAATAAGTATCCTACATGCGTCAGCAATATCGTCTCATTATCAGTTCTATTAATTGAACGCTTTAATTAATGCTTCCACGTATATATAACTTTAAGAAGAAGAACGAGTAGTTCTAATATTCAAAAATATCCATGAAATCTCGTATCAGCGCGACTATCGACATAATAATAAAAAATTTGATAATATATTCTATTTAAAATCGAATTGAAACACTAAAGATAACGCATATAGTTAAAATGTAAACTGATTAAATATCCATTTGACAGAAAATATCCACTTCAAATTAAATAAACAATATTTCTCAGAAGCAGGAATGTAAGTTGAAACGATCGAGTGCTTGATTGGTTATCACTGAATTAATTTCGATAAAAAAAGCTTCACGTTTCTTTAAGATAAGACTAATACGTCTGCCAACACAACAGCGCAATTGTTCTTACAAAAATATTTTATGGCTTAAAGCCAGTTGGTATAATAGCATTCCAAAATAGAAATATCTCGAAAAATATTCTGAATAATAATCCAAAATAGATATAATGCAATATAATGAAATAATCCAAAATAAATATTTATATAATTAAGCTGATTGCGCCTTTAACTAAATTCTTATTAAATAAAAGGTATTAGAAAATTTAAAAAAATTAAAAAATATACGCATATAACACACAGTGTTAAAAGAAGATTATTAAATATTGTAATTTCTCCAATAATTTTATTACCAATATTTTTCTTAAAATATTATTAGTATATTTAAAATATTATTAGTAATATTTTTCTTAAAATATTGGTTAAAACTATGAGCTGTCTTGAGAGAAAAATTAATATGCAAACCATCGTGCGGTAAAGCAAAGAACGATTCTCCACAAAGAAATTCATTCCCAGCACAAAAGACTTGTTCACTATGTATTCCTAACGAACAATGAAGAAGTATGCAAGACAAGCCGCGGTCAGTTATACTTGAAAAAATAATAGTAATCACTTTACTAGTCACGATCGACATTAGCGAACTTATACCAACATCGCATACATTGCCAAATCTACCTGTGCCAAGGTTGATTGATCGAGAAATTTGAAAGAATTTACTTTGCAATTACTTGTTCAAAAAAATTATTAGAATATTTTATTATTTCTGTTGACTGTATGCTTTTACCATTTTTTTTCAAATAAATGACAAACATTCACAGACGTAAAAAAATTACTGCTTATTGATTGTTGACTTTAAATAGGATTGATAAACGGAAATCATTGACTTTGTAATGATAATAATTGTGATTAATCCTACATAATCTGATATACAAAAATTGATATACAATCATTGTTATTTGTATCAATTAAATTTATATATAAATAAAAAACAAAGTTAACATTATTGTAATTCTATTAATTTCTGTAAACATTGTACTGTTTGACAAATACATCATAACAAATATATTCTGAGAATTTAACTGAAACGGTATAAAGATTATGATTAATACTTACGAAAATTTCTTAAAAAATCTAATATTATGTCAGACAAGAATGACAGATTGATATGATAGATATAAATTTCTATTTTTTAGTAAGTAAAAATTTCGAAATAAAATTCTTATTTTCTTTCTATATCATTTTGTTTAATTTAAAAAACAAATGTTATTAATATCACAGTTTCAGGTAATCATACAAGTCAGGAAGTATTCGCAAATGCAACAAAGAAAAGTCTCAGAAAAAATCATCGAAACAAATATGTTAATAATCTGTCAAGCGTTTCTTTGAAGTGTGCAAAACGTGCTGAAGAGCGTTTACAGAAAATCACCGATTTTAACGTCATCGGTTCCGCAGAAAATCGATAATCGTCCGCTAAAACTCGCTACATCATCCAGCAGAAATTCGCACGGGAAGTCTTTACATCGGAATCGTAACTCATTCCAGGCACAGAGGACTTGTTCACTATGTGATGACTTTCGTGGCGCTCCCCGAAGCTTCACGGCGTGTCATCGTCATCGAAACGGGAAGGAGGGGGGCTTCGAATTGACCCACAGACCCCATCACTGCGGCCTCGTTCGTAGGTCGACAAACTGGCACGATTCCTGAATAGCATGTTATACCAATTCCTTTCCACTTCCGCCAATTCCGGTTCTTAACATTGTCAATTCAAATGACATACAAGCCATAAAAAGATTTAATACTACATGGCATGTTCACTCGAGAATCGAGAATCGAGTAATATGATATATTTGTAATGAAAACATTGACTAAATGCTTTATTTCTAATCTTAATCTTATGTTAAAATTGATAATCACTTACTAAATATCTGATAAATACAAAATTTTTTCCGCCATGCCAATAAAATTACGATTTGATTAAAATTACTTCTAACACTATGCATATAAAAAAAGTTATTTATTGAAAAAATTTATTAAGAAAAATCCAAAAATCATTGTTTCTTTAAAAAATTTTAGTAATAATTTACAAATATCAATTAAATATTTATTAATTTCTTTATCAAAGATATTGATTTACATAAAAATATTCTTTGTACCGAATATTTTAATTAATAATAATCTTAATTATATATATATATATATATATATATATTTATTTATTTATTTATATAATCTCGTAAATTAAATATTAAAGATGAAATATTAAAAATCACATACGAATAAATTATCTTTTAATTTTGGGTAACTTATACTCCACAATTCTATTGCCGATTTTAAAGTCTTCAATAAGAGAGAAAAAGAAAGAATTATAAGAAAAAATTCGCGTTAATATATTTCCATTAATGTTACGATTATTTCAATGACTCATGCAATAAATCCAGCGACGCGATATCGCTTGTGTGTTTTATCATGTTGAATCGTCGCCAATTACATTTACGACGGTCTCGGTGCGTTTTATATGGAAATGCTTCTCTGTTTATCATTTACTGAAACTAAAAAGTTTCCGCGGCGAAAGCGTGCAATTATACCGAATCCACGTTTCAAAAGGCGGAAAAGTGTAGCGTCTAATGAGATTCCTGTTTCTTCTTTAGACAATTTATATGACACATACTTTGTAATCTAATCATTTTATTAATTATCATTCGGTAAATATGTAACGAAATATTTTTCCACTAAGCGAGACAGAATTCTTTTTTTACGATTGTCTTTTCCAAATAGAAAATAATTGTTTTTACAGTCAGAGAATACATAATCATATCTTAAAAAATATAAAATTAATTAACTGATTATTTAATAAACGATAAATATGTACAATTGACTAATTATTAATCGTACCAAAATTTCGATATAGAATTAATGCATGTATTTAATACATTCTATAATAATAATTTGAAATTCTGGAGAGAGAAGAAAGAATGAATGTTTTAATAAAATCGATAAGCGAATAAATATCCGGTAAATACAGAATTTTTTCGATGCCGATAAAATTACGATCCGATTAAAATTATCCTTTCGTAATGTGTATATAAAAAGTGACTATTTATTTTAAAAATTTATTAAAAAAAAACAATTTCTAAATATATCAAACGGTCCTGCCAAATCGCTTTCGCATAAGTTACGAAACGTGACGG